ATAAGTCTAGGATGAGTTTGCTGATTCATTTACAACCAGCCATTTATTTGAAGATCCAAAAAAGGGGAAATGGGAATAGAGTTGTACTGTGTATATAATATTCATACTTGAAAGCGTGTGGAAGTTCTTTATAAACTGAGTCTGACTATGTCTCTAAATATATATATATATATATATATATGTGCATATATATTTGGTTAATACAGTTTGGAAGCATTGCATTTTGTATGAAAATGGGAAAATAATAAAGAAAAAAAGGTGACTCTACTTCAACCAGTATCTCCAGGTAGAGTTTTCTTTGCTTCCAACCCCTTGGAAGGGGAGGAGAGGAAATTTGAAATGTCCAATGATTTAATGTCTCGGCCAGTTTAGGGGTTCAAATACATTCCCTGCACTTTGTTAAGAGATATCCCATACACTGTAATTTTTTAAGAGTGCTGTGTTAATTAAACACGTGTGTCAGGCTCATCCAATGGTAACTTTATCCACCCTTTCTATGGAGCCAAGCCCAGGAGTCTGGCTTTCCAGAGCCTCCTAAATCTGCTCCTTTGTCAGTGTCCCAGCCCCTGGGGCTTGGTGGGGCAGGTGCGTGGTGGGACCAAGCACCCTCCTCCCCGTGGCACAGCCAGTGTTTGTGCTGCAGTGGTGGCCCCAGGCACATGCCACCCTGGCCTGTGACACCTGGTTGGTGCTGGGACGCAGGGCTGTGGCAGGCGCGAGCTGAGCTACTGCTGTAACGCTGCCTCCTGCTATTTAAAGCCTGCCCTGAGTCAGGAGCAGCAAGTTCTGACAGGCATGACAGTTGCTTCAGGCCTCCCTGGGGAGGACAGGGTTGGGGGTAAACATCACCGGTACGTGCCTGAGCTACTGGCAACATGGAGGGTCGCTGCAACGCCAAGCGCGACCAGGCTTCCGAGACCTCCTCCATCTTAGAGGATGAAGAAGAGGAGGCTGTGGATCCTGAGGAAGCGGAGGAGCGGACTAACAGGTACAGCCTCCCTGGAGAGGCAGTATATATATATATATATATATATTTCCCCCCTTATTTTTCCCTTTTCCTCTTTTTTCACCACAACTGTGAACATTTGTGGGTGCAGCTAATTGGGCAGTTTCTGATGAATGCAGCTGTAAGTTTTGGGCAGTAAGCGCTGC